GTAGGTCATTTGATCACGCAGTTGGTCTACCTGGTGGGCGGAGGCGAGGGCTTGCAGTTGGACCTCGGTGAGCTTTGTCTCTCGATCGGCCAGCTCCTTGCGCAGCTGATCAATCTCCTTGTCGCTGGCCGACAGAACAGAGGCGGTGACACTGTGTAAAGAGAGGAGTCAAAGTCACGAAATGGCTATAGGCCGTAATGGACAGCTTTCGTATGCGGGGAAATGGCACAATCAGTTAAAAGACCCTGCCAATAAGCACACAGTTCATTGCCTTCGGAAAGAAAGTGACGCAAGTTAGTCAGAGTTAAACGGTGGATAAATCAGTGGCCACCACCATCACCACCACCAAATTAAGGGAAACCGTGTGGACTGGTCCAGCATAGCAGGCATTTTCTTGATAAGTCCATAAGATAAGCCATCTATTGTACTACTACTACTTCTACTTCTATTCGCAATACCACTACTACTACTACTACTACTACTACTACTACTACTACTAATAGTACCCCATCACCACTAGTACATATACTAATTATTTTTAAGCAGGAAATATACGAGGTTCGGAAGCCATCATCCAAGACCCTCTTGTATCAAAAGAAGCTTAAGTAGTGCACCTCGTATACCTCTACGGAAGTGCTGGTTATATGGGTTTTGGGGGTGGGAATATAGGATAGGCAGTGAAGACGATCTGTAGAAGTGGAAAGTGGAAAAATTTAGTTGAATTTGTTTTCCACGGCCGGTGGGAGTAAGTAGTTTCGCATGTGTGCGCGGCACTTCGCACCGCGGACTATACTAATAATCTAAATCCAGAACGGTAAGTTGGACCCCACGTAAGGTGAAGTAGACGACCTCCTAACCGCCAATTTTATTTTTTAAGGAATTTCAAGAAACCTGCAATTTGATAGTCGGGTTTTTCAGCAATACATTAAACGATAATACAGAATAGGAAAATCTACGGACATAAATCTAAAACATTTCTTAATACAGTAAAATAAAAATGTATATAGCAGTTATTAAAGTATACTCCTAATTCCT